AAAGTCCAAAAATATTGCACAAGAAGAGTTCTCCACTCCTCTACTTGTTGCAGAATACCTTATGCCACCAGACTTGAAACTCTAGACCTAGAAAACCTAGAACTACGCCATCTTCAGTCTGATCTAAGTGTGGTATATAAAATCATACATTGCAATGACTTACCTGTCAATGAATACTTCAGTTTCAACCATAATAACACAAGAGTACACAATAGATACAAACTCAAGGTAAACTGCACCAAACTTGATTGCAGGAAATATGACTTCAGCAACAGAGTGGTCAATGTCTGGAATACTCTACCTGACTCTGTGGTTTCTTCTCCAAACCCCAAAAACTTTAACCTTAGACTGTCTACTATTGACCTCACCCCTTTCCTAAGAGGTCTGTAGGGGGCGTGCATAAGCGCACCAAAGTGCCTACCGTCCCTGTCCTATTGTTTCTTTTATTTTTCTTACATGTACCAATTTCATGTATTCATAACTATATATATACATACCTATTATCTTGTAAGTGACTGACAAATAAAAATAAATAAATAAAAATAAATAAAAAGATGGATGCCCATAAAATTCAAGCATCCAAGTTGGCATGGAACTGGAAAGAACTGAGTCCCTACATTTGAGGGAGAAGCATCTAATGTTTTGCCCCTTCCTGCATATGAATCAGGCAAATCAAAAGGCACTTTATTAAGGAAAAATAAAGTTTTCTGAATTGGGTACCAAAATAAATGATGCATACATTCAATACATGTGATGTGTCAGAAAGCAACAAATCAAACAATAAATGACATTGATTGGACGTGAGAAACATCAGACCTCCTTAAAATAAGTTGCCTCTCTTCTTTTCCCACCTGGACTTGTTTCTTTAACACTTGAAACCCTCAAAGACTTCAGAATGTGGCCAGGTTGTTTGATTGACAGTCCCTGAAAGGGCTAATTTTTTTGCACATCAAAGGAAATGGCTTTGGCTGAAAGGAAAAACATGGCTTCCTAAACTTCAAACAGAGGCATAGATATCATGCTACAATGCCAATATCACCTTTATTAAAATGTTAATAATATAGCCTAAAATTCCAGATAACAAAACCACTTTCATTGTGGCAGAATACAAGATGCATGGATGGGTGGGTGGGTGGGTGGGTGGATGGATGGATGGATGGGGAGATAGGCTCTTGATATAGGTAGATAGGAGGCAGGATACAAGATAGATGGAGGGATGGGTAGGTAGATAAGAAGATAAGAAGATAGAACAGGTAGACCACCTCACTCCTATTACAGCTACCTAGCACACCAGGACTGGAAGGCAAGGCATGTTACAAGTCCCATCAATTAGGGATTGTCATCTGGTAGGACCATGAAAAAGGACCTTCTTGATGATGGTCCTTTATGGAACATCATTCCTCCTGAGATACAGTTGGCCCACAACCTGCTGTTTTTCTGAAAGGCTCTACAAGCATTGCTTTGTCAATGGATCTGGGGACCGCAAATGGAAATGAAGTGGATGAAGTGGATGATTTGATGGTATTGTTGCTGCCATAGGGAATGAGGTGGAGGAACTTTTTTTACAGTTTTATTATATGATATTATATGGTGGAACTTTTAAAGCCACCCGAAGTCACCTAGGTGTGAGTTGGATGGCTACATAAATTAGTTTAATAACTAGGGTATCTGTTTGTCTGTCACTTTCTTCTTGTGCCCAAAACAGGTCCTAGGATGGCCCCAAAGCCAAGAAAGACCTCCAGACATGAGAAATGGCATGTTTAGCTTCTTTTATTGGAGCACTCCAGTAAAGAGGATCTTGGCATCTAAAGGAGCCGAACTCTCAAACAATACACAAACACAAATTTTATACAGTTACAGTTAAGGAAATTAACACTCTAAGAATCACACATTGGTTCCCTGACTCGTATTTCTTTTGTCTGAATTCTCCCACGTAACCCTCCATCTTCATACATCATACATGTTTATGTTGATAAGCTTTTTTAACAAAAGAGGTGTGTCTTTTACTGTTATAATAAGCTAAAGGTTACCAAAGTTTATATAGCTATGTAACTTAGATATATAAACCTTCGCTAACTTGTAACTTTCTTGGTACTAGGATCTCTTTCTCTCCTTTTCTCTTTCTTTCTCTCCTTTTCTCTCTCTCCCCCCCTCTCTCTCTGTCTCTCTGCCACAACTGAATTAGTGCAGTCATGAGCCTTTCCCCCAAAAATTCTCTTTCATCAAACTGAATAACAAGCACTACAAGCTATAAGCAAAAAAAGATGTTTTCTGCACAACACTAGAAGCAGATTCTGCCTTGATCCTGCACAAGTATTGCTAATGAATTATGCATCCCCTGAATAAGCCACTCAGGTAAGCTGAGGGGGATCTATCAGAGAGAATGGCCTCCAGGCCAGACTTAACCATTTCTAAAATTTAAGGTGACCAAAGGTCCTCCTTTAGGGAGGACAGTCCTCCTTTTGTAAGTTCTGTCCTCCCTCAAAAAGTGTCCTCCTACATGTCCTTCTTTCTGATATTTGAAGACTAATCTGTAAATCTCCATATTTGATAGATGCCGATCCAATCCATTGTGTGTGATGGATACATATCCATTAAATACATATGGATGTATTTGTATTTGACATCGCGATTCATCAAGGCTCGTTACAGTGCGGTGAGACGCAATTATGAGATGCATGCACTCCACACAGGAGAATTAAGAGTGTGTGCTATGCTCAAGAGTGCCATGCTCAAGAGTGCCATGCGCAAGAGTGCTATGCGCAAGTGGCTTTGTTTTTTTTCTCCAATTTATTTGTGTCCTCCTTCTCATTGTAAAGAAGTTGGTCACCTTATAAACTTGTCCAATTGCCTAAAAAATATGCCTGCCCCCTTAAGAACATCCACTGGCAGTTGGAACAGTTGGAACTAAGAGAGAAAGCAACCATTCTCAATCTTCTCTTCCCTTTGATCTCCCTACTATGCAAGTGTAGAGAAAGGATTGGGGCCCTGTCTGTGAGACAGAGGTTAGCAGTTCAGGCAGGCATAAAACTCATGGGATCTGGGCCTTGTTTTTTTTTAATTATAAATCACACCCCCAACCTATATGCAGAAGAATGTTGCAAAGGGGTGACTACATGGTTAGGATTAGGAACCAAGAATAGCTGTGAACGTAAGCTCAAAGAAGAAAATATTTGTAGCTCTGGGGTCCTGGGTGTTCTCTGAACTAGATGTCTATGGAGATTCTCAATCATCCAGGTCATGGTTGCCCCAAAGATACTTTTTCAAAAGGCAACCTGACTGTCTTGGGTTTTTTTCCCCTTGAAAATGTGACGCTTCTCATCCAGGAAGAACTAGATGAAACTTCTTGGATGAGAACCGAAATGTTTTCAAGAAAAAAACCCCGAGAAATTCCAGTTGTCTTTTGGAAAAACACCTTTGGGATTCTCCGAGCTTAGTTGTTTCCCTGCAGGCATTTGATTAATCAACTAGTTAACATGGTTCTGGCACTGATAATGTTACCTAGTTTGGTAATGAAATGTCTGCAAGAAAACAACCAGCCTCAGAGAACACCAATGACCTCACAATGTAAGCTCAGTCAGAGAAGCCGCTGTTGTATCGCACAATAGAAAAGCCACATACTGTATTAGGTATCCCCTTGTCCCTAATTTTTTTTTTTTTTTCATTTCAGCAGCTTTGGAAGAAGGGAAAAACTTTTCTGTCTCACTGGTGTTAAGTAACTGTGAGTCAAAATCAATCTTTACTGATCTGCTGCAACTCAGCTAGCAGTGTATCGGCTGGTTCTGGTTTATTTTCCTCCCACTACAGGGGGGAAACCATAGAGACTTTGCATGGAAACCATAATTGGGGGCTTTGGAATGTATTTATTTTTATTTATTTATTTGATTTGTCAATCGCTTACAAGATAATATGTATAAGTATAAACATGAGTAAGAATACAGGAAATAGGTACAAATAAATGGGGACAATAGGACAGGGACGGTAGGCACAATTGTGCACTTATGCATGCCTCTTACACAGACCTCTTGGGAATGTGGGGAGGTCAATAGTGGATAGATTAAGGGTAAAAGAGTGGGGGTTAGAGGATGTAACAACAGAGTCAGGTAGGGCATTTCAGGCATTGACCACTCTGTTGTTGAAGTCATACTTTCTGCAATCAAGTTTGGTGTGGTTTACATTGAGTTTGTATCTGTTGTGTGCTCTTGTATTCTTGCGGTTGAAGCTGAAGCAATCATTGACTGGCAGAACATTGTAGCAGATAATTTTGTGTGCTATGCTTAAGTCCAACCGTAGGTGGCGTAGTTCAAGGTTGTCCAAGCCTAAAATCTCAACCCTGGTGGTATATAGGGTATTCTGTTGCGAGCAGAGGAGTGTAGTACTCTTTTCGTGAAATACCTCTGGACTCACTCAGTTATATTAATGTCCAATATACAGTGCAGATTCCAGACTGATGAGCTGTATTTAAGTATTGGTCTAGCAAAAGTTTTGTATGCTTTTGTTAGCAATTCAATATTTCAATTTAATAATTGAAAAAGGTGATAATGCTCAGAGACATAGAAAGGGCAAGAAGAAATAAATGTGTTTTGAGCCTCTTGGAATTCTGAAATCTGTAAATCATAAATATTCAAATCTGTAAATTGGCATTTATAAGTTGGCATTTTCATCATCAAAATTATTGTTTAATTCTAAAGTAGAAATTCCAAACGTTAATTGAATGCCTGGGAAACTTCAGATTTGCCATAGATTTCAGGCCTCCCGTCATAGGATGTGAGTCTGAATTTTTTCCATTTTGATTAAAATTGTTCCATGTGATGCTAAAGCTGACGTTTCAGAAGGCAGGCTAGTAGAAAAATGGGAGAAATAAGTGCCTAATTCTTGCCAGGATTTATTCCTGGGTTGAAGTAAAGGATTGCTTAAGTCCTCATTCTAATCAATCCCCAGATAGAGGAACATGATGAATTCTTCAGCTGGTTCCTGAGCCTTCTTGGGAGGCTGAGAAAATGGATTCCCTGAGAGACAGCGATGAAGAAGATGGGATAGAAAAACCACTTCAGTCTCATGAAACCTATTTATGTCAAGGTAAGTTTGAAGATCATCTAGAACAGCCTTTTCTGACTGCATGCTACTAACCAAAGATTATGGAAATTGGACCTGCATATCTGAACCTCTTTAATCCTGTATATCTGAAGTCCTCTAATTTGAAACCCTTGAATAACTTCAAGTCCCATGAGGAACGGTTTAAAAAAAATCTAGGGAGATTGAATATGGATGAGTGAAAATTAAAGGAAGGCACAATTATTACTTTCTAATATTACAAAGGCATACAAGAGACCAACTTGAACAAATGAGTTGGGATAATGAGAAAGAATTTTAATAAAACAGAGAGAAATGTAAGAACCACTCAACAATAGAATGACATTTATTGAGACATGATGCTTTAGAAAAATTCAGTAGAAGTGATCCCGGTTATTAGAGTGTTCCCCTCTCTTGATTTAATCTTGAGAAAGAAGATTGGGCCAAAAGACCCCTAAACTCCAATCTACAATTGTTTGGCTCCTCATTCCAAGAGTAGCTGTCATGCCCCTGTTGGAATCTGATTCTGAGGGGAAGGTCGAGCCGCTGACAGGGAGTGTGAGTGTGTGGATCCCGTGGCTTTGGAGGAAACTGAGGAAGGGCACAGTCCAGCTGGGCATTCAGAGGAAGACCCAGGGCCAACCCCTCTTCATCCTAGGGCATGCAGGGAGGAATGGAGAAGGGAGCAAAGTGAGTTAAATGAGTTACGGGGGGAGAAAGGGGCCCTGATTCCCTTCATTAACTGCAGCTGGGAAAACAGGATTTTTAAAAGGGTGTTTGCACACAGCACCTTGCTGGAAGCAAAACGGGAATTATCTTTGTGTGTCAAGTTTTATCTGGGTTCTGGCGTCCTCCCACTATGTGTGTTTCGTTATCTTTTGAAGTCTGCAATTATCCTGCCCTGTCTCGTTAATTGCTGCAGCATGGTTTGTGTTGGTTTTTATTTATAATTTATATGTAGTTTGGGTTTGGACTGAATTTCTTCCCTTTAAAAACTGTTCTTGGGAGAGTTTTTTCTCCAGCTGATGATAACTGGACATTGGGGGCCAAGTTGGAGGTATTAAAGGCACTTTGCCTACTTTTGTGACTTTGTTGCTTTTGTGCCATGCCCCTTTGGGTCATCACAGTATCTATGTTGCAAATACATAGGAAACGACACATAACCAGGTCAGCCTAGGACTGAATGATTGAATTTATCTGCCACCCATCTCACGATCCAAAGCGACTCTGGGTAAATTATGTAATTTCATTAGCAGATTTTTGCGATCTAAATTGATGGTGGCTTCTGTGTATGAAAACTATGATACAGGTAATCCATGACTTACGACAGTTTATTGTTCAAAATTAAAACGGCAATGAAAAGAGTGACTTACAACCATTTTTCATGACTGCATCCCCCTGGTCACGTGATCAAAATTCAGATGCTTGGCAACTGACTCATATTTATGACAGTCGCAGTGTCCCAGGATTATGTGATCCCCATTTGTGACCTTCTGACAAGCAAAGTCAGCGGAGAAGGCAAGCTCACTTACTGTGTGTTGCTAACTTAACGATTGCAGTGATTCACTTAAAGCCCTGTGGCAAGGAAGGTCATACAATGGGACAAAACTCATGTAACAATTGTCTGCCTTAGCAACAGAAATGTTGGGCTCAGTTAGAGTCGTAAGTGGAGGACTACCTATATCTGAGTTTGTTTCTGTTGCAGTTATGCTTTATTCCCTTCCCATTGCACGACAGTTTTTACTCTCTGGTTGGCCACCCTTAGCATCATATAAATAACAGAAGGTCAGAGCCTAAGTGGCATCCACCTCGGGATCAGTCTATGCTAAGACATTTTGTGCTTTCTACTGTCAGCTTTGGAAGCCATATTCCACGCTGCCACATAGCCTGAGGAAGTGGGAGGGGGGTGATTTCAATTAAGTAGCTCGAAGTAGAGAAAATTTTTAAAAAATGGTTAGTTCAAGGTCATTTAGTATGGTGCAGGGTGAAATAAGGATCTTACTTTTGGACGGATCGTGATTGGGCCATGTGATGTGATGATGACCCAAGGGGGATGGATTTGTAGTTTGGGAAATTGTAGAAAGCTGAAAAATCTTTCAGATTCGGGTTTCCACAGATGCGCCAGATGCTATTCTAATAAAAGTACTTTTGAGATATGTTTGTCTTGGTGTTACTGATTGGAATGGAGGTTTGCTGGAATGCTGACATCTAGTTTTGCATGTATGTGTATTTCCATGCACACGTGCCTTGTGTACTTGTTTTGTTTTGCTAGGTTTGAAACAGCTATACCAATCCCAACAACTTTGTGATGTCACTTTGGGGGTTGAAGGAAGGAGCTTTCCTTGCCATAGGTAAGTCATCCCCACAGCCCTAAAGATTCCTCTACCTATACAGATATCGTTGAACTACAACACATTGAAAAAAAAACTAGCTATTCCAAACTGCTTTTTCACTGAGTAAAATTATTAATCTATCATGGCTAACACGAATGAATGAATGGATGAAAGAAAGAAAGAAAGAAAGAAAGAAAGAAAGAAAGAAAGAAAGAAAGAAAGAAAGAAAGAAAGAAAGAAAGAAAGAAAGAAAGAAAGAAAAAGAAAGAAAGCTTTATTTGGCCAAGTGTGGACACAAGGCATTTGTGTCCAGTGCAGAAGCTTTCAGTGTACATGCAAAGCAACATCATCTTCATCATACCAAACAAAGGGGAAGAGTAAAGAAGATAATAAGGATAAATAATACTATAGCCGTACTTCATGGATAAATGCATATGAACATTAGACAGTACTGTGAGAATTAGGTGTTCAATATAGTGATGGCATGAGGGGAAAATATCCTTATATCTAGTTGTTTTACATTCAATGCCCTATAGCAGCATCTCAAGGGGAAGAGTTATAACAGAATAACAGAGTTGGAAGGACCTTGGAGGTCTTCTAATCAAACCCCCTCCATGCAGGAGACCCTATCCCATTCCAGACAAGTGGCTGTCCAGTCTCTTCTTAAAAGCTTCCAGTAATGGAGCCCCAACAACTTCTGAAGGCAAGTTGTTCCTCTGATTAGTTGTTCTCACTGTCAGGAAATTTCTTATTAATTCTAGGTTGCTGCTCTCCTTGATTAGTTTCCACCCAATGTTACTTGTCTTGCCTTTTAGTGCTTTGGAAAATAGGTTGACCCTTCTTTGTGGCAGCCCCTCAAATACTGGAACATTTATGTCCAGGATATGAGGAGTCTGCAGATATCTTATTATTATACAATTATTTCTTCTTCTTTTTTTACAAAAGTTTTATTGAGTAAATTGTTAAAAACATTGGAGGTGGTGTTCGTCCTGACAATCCTGTTTGTCATACACATTATGGCATAGAATACATGTTTTATATACATTTATGCAATATTTTCTTATTTCTAGTCATCCGTTCTCCTACTTTCTTTTGATTCTAGGCCCTTCTTTTTTTCCTACCATCGATAGAATTTATCCCATACTTTATAATATTCTGTCTCACCTTTATCTTTCATTTCTAAAGTTAATTTATCCATCTCTGCGCAAATCCATATATTTTTTGTGACTTCACTTTCATCGGGAATTTCTTTATCATTCCACTTTTGAGCAAAGGCTAACCTTGCTGCTGTGATCACGTGTATTATTAAATAAATCACCTCTTTATTATATTTTTCTGTTATAATTCTGAGTAAGAAAAATTCCGGTTAATATTCCACCTTATGCTATACCATCTCCTCAAGCCACCTCTGAATTCTATGCCAAAACTCCTGGATTTTTCTACATTTCCACCATATGTGGTAGTATGATCTATATTCTTGGGTACATTTCCAGCAGTTGGGTGATATATTGTGATACATTTTGGCCAGTTTTGCTGGAGGAAGATGCCACCTATAAAACATTTTATATAGGTTTCCCTTATACAATGTGGCCAGTGTTATATTTTTGTTTCGCTCCCATAAAGTTTGCCATTTATCCAAATTAATACCATGTCCAATATTTTTAGCCCAGGCCAGCATCGTTTCTTTTACCTGCTCCTCCTCCAGTTTATAATCCAGTAATATTATGCAATTATTTCTGAATAATGTTTCTTAACCTTGGCAAGGTTGAAAATGCATGGACTTAACTCCTGGAGTTCCCTATCCACAAATGAATATCAATGTCCAAAGCCATCCTATGTTTATCAGCTTTTTTTTTCCTCCCTGCAGGATGCTGCTGGCATCTGTTAGCCCTTATTTTCGAGACCTTTTCACCAGTGGCAGCAGCGAGTCTCAAAATGGGGAGATCTTACTTAAGGACATGACGGCCTCCACCCTTCACAGCTTGCTGGATTATCTCTACACAGAAGAATTGTCCCTCTCCGCTGAGACGGCTCATGATCTGTTCACGGCAGCTAGCAAGCTCCAAATCCTCCCATTGAAAGAAACAGTTGGAAGGTAATATTTACAGAACAGCGGAGTTGGAAGGGAGCAACTTCCAAGAAGATACTAAGAAGGATAAATAATAATGCTACATAGCCATAGTTCATGGATAAAATACACATAAACATTAGACAGTACTATGAGAATTAGGTGTTGGACATGATGATGGCATAAGGGGAAAAATGTCGTTGTGTCTAATTGTTTTGTACTCAATGCCCTACAGCGGCGTCCCGAGGGGAAGTGTAATAACAGAATAACAAAGTTGCAAGGGACCTTGGAGGTCTTCTAGTCCAACCCCCCCCTGCTCAAGCAGGGGACTTATCTATACCATTTCAGATAAATGACTGTCCAGTCTCTTCTTAAAAGCCTCCAGTGATGAAGCACCCACAACTTCTGAAGGCAACTGGTTAAGTCTTTTCACTGTCAGGAAATTTCTCCTTAGTTCTTTACTCAGGATTAGATTAGATTAGAATTAGATTAGATTAGAATTCTTTATTGTCCACGTGTGATTGGACACACAAGGAATTTGTCTTGGTGCAAATGCTCTCAGTGTACATAAAAGAAAAGATATATTCATCAAGAGTCCAGAATCATAAGGTACAACAATAATAGTCATAGGGTAAAATAAGCAATCGAATCATACTAGGAAACAGTCAATATAAATCGTAAGGATACAAGCGACAAAGTTACAGTCATACAGTCACAGGTGGGAGGGGAGGGGTGATAAGGAATGAAGAGAAGATTAATAGTAATAGTAATGCAGACTTTGTAAATACTTGGACAATGTTGAGGGGATTATTTGTTTAGCAGAGTGATGGCGTTTGGGAAAAAAATGTCCTTGTGTCTCATTTTTTCTGGTGTGCAGTGCTCTATAGCGCTGTTTCACCTAAATTTGGAAACCATTCTTTTTCCAAACATAATTATCATAGTCTCTTTAGCAAGATGTCCTAAGGAGAAAGGAATGGGTTTAATTCTGGCAACTAAATTTCCTACCCACCACACTAGATCTTCTGCTCTTCCCTAATCACAAAGGACCTTGTAGCTTCTTTAGAAAACAGTCCAGCTTCTCAGTCCAGCAGCCCAAAACTCCCTCTGAATTATCAGGTCCTTTATACCGTCAGATACACAATACAACTAGTCCTCAACTTACAACTATTTGTTTAGTGACTGAAGTTACGACAACACCGAAAAAAGTGACTTTACCATTTTTCACACTTATGACTGTTCTAGCATCCCCATGGTCACATGATCAAAATTTGTACACATGGCAACTGACTCGTATTTATCATGGTTTCCGTGTTCCTGGGTCATGTGATCACCTTTTGCGACCTTCTGACTAGAAAAGGCAATGGAGAAGCCAGTAGAGATTCTCAAGGAATATTGAATACAGCTGTCTGCAAGGAATATAAATCCTTCCATTCCGCACTATCCAGTCAGAGCTGAAGAAGCTTCTTGGATGAGAAGCGAAACGTCTTCCAAAGAAAAACCAAGAAAGTCCAGTTGCCTCCCGAAAAAGCACCTTTGGGATTCTCTGGATGAATATGTCTTGCCTCCCTAAAATCTGGGCTGCAAAACTTTTTAGGAGTTATGTTTGCACAATACGGAGGACTTAGATAAAATGGGGGTCTTTTGTACTTCAGTGTGTTGTGGGAAAACAACCATTGTCTTAGCAAGTCATATGAACTGCAGTGGCGCAGTGGTTAGAATGCAGCACTACAGGGCTAACTCACTGCTCACTCCAGGAGTTCAATTCTGAGCGGCTCAAGGTTGACTCAGCCTTCCATCCTTCTGAGGTCGATAAAATGAGGATCCAGATTGTTGGGGGCAAGATGCTGACTCTGTAAACTGCTTAGCAAAGGCTGTAAAAGCACAGTGAAGTGGTAAATAAGTCTAAGTGCCGTTGCTATGGCCACATGAACCAGGCCATAATATAGAACTGTCATAAAGTCGGCCTATTCAGGCATAGCAAGTTGGATGGAGCCCAGTGGGATAGATTAACCTGAAGTGAGAAAATTAGTGTGTTGTCTGAAACCAACCACTTTTTCTTCAAGGCATACCCTGTGCCCAAAAGGGCACAGCGCCAGGATACTGACATGAGAGAACTGGGACAAAAACTAAACCTGATTTATACTTAACATTTACATCTAAATGTAGATTAAACACAATGCAATTTACTTTTTATTTAAATTAAAACCATTAAATGGCATTAATAGGAGTATCCCCCGTGCCTTTCATAATTTTCCCTTTCTGCCTCATTAAAACGTATAATTGGATGGCAACTTTGCAAAGAGTTCTGGGGGGAGGTCAAATGGTAACCTTTCTGGGACTTCATGCAGCTTTGGAGAACTCACAGGCTGAACTTTGCAATATTCTTGGAAACAGATCATTACAGACAGTCCAAAAGCACACCGCTCCTTGGGGCTGTTTCATACACGAACCTCTCACCGTGCCAAGGAAAGTGCTATTGCTTAACCAAAGTTGCTTTCTTTTCAAAGAAGGGGTTCTCGTATATTTACAAATGTACAGGTTGGATGTTGAGGAAGATGCTTAGCAACCTTATGCTTCCTCAAATGTCTGGAGAGAGAAATCCAGCATACGACTTATCCTGTATCTTCTATCCTTCAGCAACATTTGCTCTTTCAGTCCAAAACTATCAGCAAGGTCTCAGCCCAGGAGAGGACAACCAACAGGTTAGAAGGCAGCATGCATTCCATGGGAGAGAAGATTGATATAAAAGATACATCTAAGGATGAAAAGGGCATTTCAAAACTTGCATTTAACTTCAAGCCAAACCAACAACGATTAATTAAAAGAAGAGAATAGTGGTAGCTCAGGGTTGGTCCTTGGTGTTCCCTGAGCTTGGTTGTTTTCTTACAGATGTTTCATTACCCAACTAGGTAACATCATCAGTGCCAGAAGGAAGAGAGGTTTTCTCTCTATTTATGTACAAGTGGCTTGCCCTATCAGTATTGGTGGGAATGTTTTTGGTGGTTCCTTGATCAGGCTGTTGTTCACTGAATTGGATAATAAAGCATCTGTAAGAAAACAATCAAGCTCAGAGGTGGCCCTATTTATTTCTAACAACCAAGGATCCCAAAACACACGACTGGATTTAATCACCTCTTCAAATCAAATCACCATCCTGAATCATAGAATTTCTTTAGGGTGTGCAATGAAGTTTGGTGCCTGGGTGGTGTGGTGGCCTAGAGTTGGAGCCCTCACCTCACAGTGAGGAGGCTGTGAGTTTGATCCTGGGGAGAGACAGATATTTCTCTCTCTGAGCACGAGGAGTATATATCTGTTGAATATAACTCTGCATTGATGACAGGAAGGGCATCCGGCCAGTAAACACTCAGCTCCATTCAGTTGCCCAGACTACACACCACAAGGGATTATGGAGTCATTAGATGATGATGATGATGAAGAAGAATGAAGTTTGGTGCCTCTGAACTGATCTGACAATTTTGATAAAATTTATTTGACTCAAGAATGTCTGTACAATTCCTGCAAGTTTATATCAGTTTGTAGTATAAACTGTTGAGTTGAATTGCATTAACCACCAGGATTTGTACAGACTCATTGGGCTGACAATTTGAATCAGGTCTTGGATGATTTGTACACTCTTGGTACTATCTGGCATCCCAAAATAGAAAGCATTTAGAGTGAGTTTTCACGTAAAGGTAAAACAGATGGAGGTATTAGTAAAAACTGTTTGACTCTACATTTATCTTCGCTTTTCTCTCAGGTTTCTTGAGATGAACATTTCCATGAGTAATTGTCTCAACCTGTATGGCTTGGCTTACGAGTTCAATCATCCACCCTTGCTCCAAGCAGCTCTAAGCTACATTGAACAACACTTTGGAACCCTCACAAAGCAAGAGGCTTTCCTGAATCTGGATTCCGGTGCTCTGATCAATCTCATCTGCTCAGACCACTTGGAAATAACCTCTGAACTGATCATCTATCAGGCTGTGCGCAGTTGGGTGGAAGCTGCAACCTCCGTACGTCTCCCGCTGTTTCAGAAGCTTCTTGGACATGTCCGCTTTCCACTGCTCACTCATGATGAGCTTGTTGATGTCCAGGCAGATATTGCAGAATATTATCGCCATGTGCGCCTCCGGTGGAAAGAGATCGATGGGACAGGGAGATTGCTAGAGAGTGGTGGGCTCAGAAAAGGCATGTATGACAACTATTTTGTGTGTGTGGAGGTCAATGAAAACAGAATCCAGGATGGAGACAACCCGGAATCCTATCTGCATTGTTTTGATCCTCATGCAGAGAAGTGGGAGAAGTTACCACCAGTAAAATATCTTAGCTACCCCGGATGTGCTTCCGTGGGATGCAAACTTTATCTGTCTGGTGGTCAGAAGGACAATTGTACATTTGTTGATGTTCTTTATGAATATAGTTCCTTGACTAGTCAATGGATGCAGCTTCCATCTATGACTACAAGCCGGGCTGTGCATCCCTTCCTAGCCTGCCACAAGAAACTCTATGCTCTTGGAGGCTGCAATGACTTGGGTCCTCTTACTTCCGCTGAGGCCTTCTGCGTGGAGCAGAGCACCTGGACTTCCATTGCTGACCTTCCCCTTGCTCTGATGTACCCTGCTTCGGCAATGCTGAAGAATAAGCTCTACTTAATAGGAGGGAAAGCTTCCTGGAGTTACCGGGGCCTTCTTATCTATGACACAAATGCCAATTGGTGGACCGAAGTGCCGATGGAGTTTGCCTGTTATGGCGCAGCTGCTGTCTCAGTTGGAAATGGGATATATGTTTTGGGTGGATACTCGGAGGAGAGGGGCAATGTTGTAGTCCACACTTCAATGGGCAGTGAAGAAGTCCCTTCCTGTACCAAAGGTAGCTTTTACCTCTGCGAGAATGGCAGAGTCAATTGGGAAGTCAACATACCGGAATTGCCCATCGCCTTGGCATTTGCTTGCGCATTGGAATTCCAAGGTAAGATTTACCTGTTAGCGGGCAAAGATGAGAACAACTCCTATAACATAAGCTACAGCTGGGTACCCGAGGACACAAGCTGGACCCAATGCCCAGAGGAAATCCCTGTCACCAATGAAGTGAGGATGTTCAACTGCGCAACCCTGAAGATGCCCAAAAAGCCAATCCGAATTCTTCTGCTTGCAACCACAGCCAAGTCTACTGTCACTGGGGTAGACAATGCCAAGAAAGGACACCCAGGTTCTTACACCAATGATGGCTGTGGTCTGAACTGCTGTTGGGGTTGACATTGATGCCAAAGGGCTCCCCCAATTGCCCCCTATTTCTCTGGCTTTTAGCAACAGACTCACACAAAAAAAGACAGTCTCTTCCAAATGTAGGACATCTCTGGCCTCAGGGCGAATGGGCTTCATGGATATTCCCTTTTAAAGTCTGCTTGGGAGGGACATATTATAAGATCAATACCATCAGCGCTCCATTTGTCCTTTCCAACATGAAATGATTACATCTTTGTTAGGCTTGTATTAAAAAGCCCTGGCTCTGTTTTAGGTTTTTTTTTTGGTATTTTCTCCATCCTCAGAGATCACTTGGAAAATTATTTCATCCATCCATTTATTTGTTACATTTTACTTTGACTGCCCTCTGAATAATTCCATGCTGCTTATGTGTGGCTCCCAGCCAGGCAGTTCAGATCCGGCTCTCTAGTTTTGAAGGCAGAAGCTCCCCGTAGATATTCAGATGATATAAATCAGGGTGAAAATACCTGATTTTCTAATTACAACAATGGAAGTTACTGGTTGGGTTCAAACGTTATGTGGACACAGAGTTCGTTTTAATTAGAGTCTGTTGGATAAGCCACCATGGCTGGGCCCATGTGCCTTCCGACTCATTAACTGTGATTTGCAGCCATTGTGGCTGAGTGAGAAGCTGTAATCGTGCTAAGTCACACAAGCAAGGAAGCTTATAGCTGAACTCTGCATGGAACTGAGAACACAGAAATAATGTTCCTTTCTTACTGTCAGTTAAGACAGAGGGTGGTCTCCAGGTTAATTGTTGTCAATCTTAGCCAGTCCCTGTCACTTAAATGTCAAGACGAGAGGAGACCATATAGAGAAGTTGTTTTTCTTCTCTATCCAGGTGTGAGATTCAGCCAGCACGGACTGGTTCGGGCGAACTGGTAGTTCTGGTGTTGAGTTGGCCACACCCACCCACCCCTGCATTAGTCTGTCTTATATTTCCTTTGTTTGAAGCCCAGCTGATAGCTCAGTTGTTTTACTCACTGGGGCTGCAGTAGAAGGTAAGTTTTAGAGCTGTTTTCAAATGCATCACACACTCAAACTGGTTGTTACACTGGTTGAATCCCACCACTGTCCCTATCCACTTTGATAAAAGGGAACTTGCTTCCAAAAATTCTTTCAGAGAAGGACATACTTTCCATGGAAATCTTATGGGTAGATTGTGGTGGTCCTGAAATTACAAAATAGCCAGCAAATGTCTGTAAATATCCTGACTTTCATCTTGCTAAGAACAGAGCAGAGGTGGTATTCAGCAGGTTCTGACTAGTTCTGGAGAACTGGTAGAGGAAATTTTGAGTAGTTCAGAGAACTGGCAAATACCACCTCTGACTGGCCCCACTCTCATCTATTCTCTGCCTCCTGAGCCCCAGCTGATCGGCTGGGTCTTCTTTTGTTGCCCTGCACAGGAGAACAGAGCTGGAAAGCAGGTTAGTGGGGTGGAGAGGGAATGGGGATTTTACAGTATCCTTCCACTGCCACGCCCACCAAGCCACACCCACAGAACAGGTAGTAAAAAAAATTGAATCCCATCACTGGTTGACATATTTATTGAAAAATGGACCGTGACAACCAGAGAACATGTGTGAAATTGACTACACACAGGTTGCTCTATTTAATTCATTTATTCCAAAATTAAGCAACTCCTTAGCCAAGGTCTCTAGGTAGTTTACACTCAAACAAAAGCTACCATTGGAATAGAAACATGTGCAGGAAAAACAAATAAAGCCCAAAAAGTAAACATCATATAAACTAGGCAGCAGCAAAGCACTTCTTCAAAACACAATACATTACAAAAATGCGATTAAAAGCCAATTAAATAGCACTAGTCTTCACTGATGATACTAATGTAAGCTCCGATCAAATATCTTGTGGGAAGAAACTCCATAGAACATAAGGTAGAATATAACAATATTCTACCTCCCACAACAATATTCTATGACTAATAAGGTCTCCTTCACAGTATCATCGAGGGAGAGGTTTAGTTATGGTTAGAATAAATTTTGCAGATTTTCCAACTTAATAACCTCAAGATAAATCTGGGTTACAACTTCTAGTATCCATTATGTAAATCTGAAAGATACCAAGCTGAGGTAGCCAATATTTCCCTGCTACTTGTTTCCTCTTTCTATAAAGAAAAAAAAAATTAAGATACGCCAGCATTGTTCTATTTGAACCTAATTTGTAAAACACAAAGCAGTTTAGATAGTGGGACTAATAGTCCAGGCTTCCAAAACAATTAAAAGAAATCAATTTCACATTTATTTCCACAAAGCACAGATGGAGTTTAATAGAGGATTGTAAAATACTCTTTAATTGGCTCTATAGTCTCATTTTTAGAAGAAGATAGCAAGAAATCCCCAAGAAATACTCTTTGTAAAAAAAATTTTAAAAGCCAACAAACAGCGTGCCAGTGTATTTTTAAAGAAAATTTAGTTGGTACAAGGGTTTTGACTTAACTATGATCTAAAGAAGCCAGCAAAAATGTCAGACACACAGATATACTTCTTTAAATTGGTTGTTATTGTTTGGGCTTACATTCCATAGGAAACAGGATTCTGGAGATTTATAGATCTGAATTTATGAAATGAACAGGGGGTTGAACCAGTGGTGGGATTCAAAAATTTTTACTACCAGTTCTGTGGGCGTAGCTTGGTGGGCGTGGCATGGCTTGGTGGGCGTGGCTTGGTGGGCATGGCAGGATACTGTAAAATCTCCATTCCCTCTCCACCCCACTAACCTGCTTTCCAGCTCCATTCTCCTGTGCAGGGCAACAAAAGAAGACCCAGCCGATCAGCTGGGATTCGGGAGGCAGAGAATAGATGGGGGTGAGGCCAATCAGAGGTGGTATTTGCCGGTTCTCCGAACTACTCAAAATTTCCACTACCGGTTCTCCAGAACTGGTCAGAACCTGCTGAATACCACCTCTGGGTTGGACCATCATAAATGACACTCTATCTCTGACATAAATGGTCAAGATAGCCAAGTAGACATATCTGTTTTCCTCTGCATAAATTCATATTAGTATAATGGTTAGATAGTTCACAAATATCTAACCGATTTAGATGAACTGAATATTGTATTTTTTTTAAGTTGCAGTTGTATTACAAGTATTACAGTTGTAAAAAAATAATAATAATAATTGGTTTTAAAATGAACACTTGACCTATGAAGAGGCAATATAACACAGGTCTTGGAGTCAGCAATTTAAGAAGAAGTAATGTTTTTTGTAGCCAAGGGACACATTTAACACGTTTGGAGAAGTTGAGGGCCATAGGGCCATACCACAGATATACGTGGAGCTTGATTTTTTTAAAGAAAAGGTTTGAAAATTGAGTTTCTAAAGAGCAATATGCCCATTTTAGTACTGCACTATTATTTCCACTTGTTTCCCATCTCAAAACAGCTTAGAAATTGTGCCGTCAGCTTTATTCATGTATGGTCAGAGGTCAACCCATGATTTGTGACCCGCCTCAATTGTCAATGATTCATTAGTCTATCCTGAAATAAGAAGTTCATAGAATTGAGGAGTTGAAAGATCTGTTTTAAGGCAACCTGTCCAAACTTTGCTCAAGGCAAAAATTCAGTAAATCAACCCTGATAAGTAAATCAATTACCCAACCCTTTTTGAAAACTCCTTAGCCGTCTCATAAAGTTTCTGCTACAGTTAAAGGTAAAATAAAGGTAAAGGTTTCCCCTATCCAGTCATGTCCAACTCTAGGGGGAGATTGTCATCTCCGTTTCTTAGCTGAGGGAGCCAGCATTGTCCGAAGACACTTCTATGGTCATGTGGCTGTTGTGGTTAGCCGGCAGCAGGTGCGGATGGTAGAGGAGACCAAGGACTCAGATGAGAGGCCAGGACCGTTAGGGAGTGGACTGCTACCTTCGGACATTGTGGGGGCTGACAGCAGTGATGAGGAGGTTCCCGAGGAGCCTGCGCCAAGTGCGCATGCGCGCAGGATTGATCATAGGAGAGAGCAGTTACAGCAGCACAGGCGACTCAGGAGTAAGGCTGCAAGGTAATGGCCCCTCCCTCAAGAGGATAAAAGCCAGGTTTGAAGAAGCATTCTTTGCAGAAGGCAAAGACGCTCTGAAGCTCAGCCTGGTGGACATCATAGTTAGTATTTGAACATTCTTGTAAACTAGTTCTTATCTCTGGGTTTTTGGCGGCCTCGACAAACAACTTGGCAAGGCTCTTTCTTGTCCGAGCTAATTAGTTGGAAGCAGCCTTTTATCTGCGAAGAAACAAAATTCATGGATTAAATCTTAAAAGGTGGGGGCTGCTGCCTTTGTCTTGTGTTTGCTCTCTTGGAACCAGGTTGGGTCAGAACAGTGGCCAACACGACTACACCGAAGTGCATGGAACGCTGCCTTCTCACCAGAGTGGGACCTATTAATCTACTCACATTTTCATGCTTTCAAGCTGCTAGGTTGGCAGAAGTTGATACAGGTACAACCCCCATCTATTCAACTAGAAATATCTGGAGCAAAAGACTAGCACTATTTAAAATTCATGTATTCATAGAATCATTGAATGTATAAGTAGGACTCATGAATAAGGACAGGAATCTACTTAAACATCTCAAACAGGCTATATTTAAATGTCCAGGGTGCTGGCGCCACTACTATCCAAAGCACCACCTCTATTACATACCAGATCAATCCACCAAGAAGCTCTACCTAATTCTACATCTAAATTGTCTTTTATTTTGGTCCTTAAAGTTGCAAATTTGGAGAGCCCTATTGTAGTGTATAATAACAGAATCTTGAAAGCCCATCAGAGTTTCTCTCTGTCCCATTGGGTACCATACAGACTTAAGGCAGAGTTATTTTGAGTTTCTTTCTCACGCTTTCCTCTTCAGCGGGACTGATTGTCATTTTTCTTCCCTTAATGGCTCATACATTTCTCCTCCAAATTATCGTTACATGCTAGCTGGTGAACTCTTGGAACTGAAGTCTAGACATCTTAAACTTGCCAAGTTTGAAAAACACTG